CTGGGCGGGAGTGGGGGACCACCTAGGAAGGGGCAGCTGTGATCCAAGCAAGACATAACTGACCTGAACAGGACAGGGACAGCAAGAATGGAGGAGGTGAAACAGGTTCAAGAGGCGCCTCAGAGGAGGCAGCAGAGCTTGGCAGCTGGCTGGACAGAGAACACTAGGAGTCAAAGAGTTATTACAGTGACTGCGGTTTCTAACACTAGAGGCTTTGATGAAAGTGAGAGGTCAGGATTTCAGGTTCGAGCCTAAGGTATGTGAGGTGCCCTCGGGCGCCCAAGGGGAGAAATACCCCAGGAGAGAAGTTAGAGGTTGGCACCATTGATAACCGAAGCCGTGAGATGGGACGTAGTGCAGAAGGAGGGTCTGTGTGAACCCTTAGGTCAGACCTATGATTATTAATGGGCTGGTAAACAAAGAGATGCCAGCAGGATCACAAAGATTCAGGGCTAGGAGGAGGACTGCAACAGAGCGCACCTCAAAAGCCGGAGGAGGGGGCTCCTAGGGGAGGAGGAAGTGACCAAGGACATCACGCACTGCAGGGTCAGCTGGGGAGGGGACTGAGGAAAGGCTTTCAGACGCGGCGATTAAGAGACCATTATTGACCCGAAAAGAGCAGCTCCAGTAACAGACCTTCGCCCGCTTGCCCTTGGGCCTGGTTCTGAGCACACAGGGGGACTGCTGCCTGTTCTTTGTGCTCTCCACAGTCACTGCTAACGAAAGCAGGTGCTGGACAGAGCCCTGTCTCCGGCTCCACGCGGCGCGCCTCTCCATCAGATGGGTGCTCAAGCCCCGCTCAGCCGGGACACCTAGCACTGGGCAGCGTGTACCCTGAAAAGACTCCTGCAGTTTATTAGCAGTGGCAACAACCAGCTCTTACCATTGACCAAAACCGTAACCGACTGGTAAAACATTAAGGTCTTGCCTTGGACTCATCTGTGCAGGCAGGAATGAAGCCTCTCACTGCGGAGATGACACAGAACTGGCAAGTGTCCAGGGAGCAGTCCGTCTGGAAGAGCGGCAGAGTGGGCAGAGTAGCCAGCTGCTGTTAAGTAATAAACGTGTTGAAGTAGACGAGCCAGAGAATCTGGAAGCGTAGATTATATACAGCCCTTATTTAACTTTGAATGTAAATTGCTTTCTAGACAGAAGAAATCATAATTCATTTGAGTGAATCATTCATAAAATTATACTGCGAGATTTTCAGGGTTCAGCACCTTTCTTGACATATATTCATTATGACTTTATAACTTGTCAAAACCACCCTTTATTTTTATATTTGTGAGCCTGGTTTCTAGGGAGGACAATTTAAAAAGAGAAATACAGTTTTTACATGACTCTCTCCTGCATGTACTCTAGAGCCACACAGTAACTACTAGCATATGTGTTCACTTACACTTCTGCTTGTTCCATGAAGGGTTTAAGTCCATTTAAAGTGTTTAGAAAGCTATCTATTACTTACGATGTCACTTAAGAAATTATGTATTTCTAATGACCATTACAATCTGTGTTAGGGACTGGGGGGTAGGGAAAGAGAAGTCTTTTCAGTTGAAGATTAGAGAGGAAACACAAGGGAAAAAATGAGATCAAAGGAAGTCTCATTGGCTAACTTTCCAGGAGCATAATTACGCAACAACACTTAGGGCTCACGTGTTAAGAGCAGTCAGGAAACCCCGGCTCCAGAAGCCTAGGGGTTGCTGTCTATCTGCCTGAAGACTTGCTGCAGAAACCCCAGGCCCCAGACTGACACTCGGTCTCCTAGCAGACGCCAGGCCTTGTGTGATTTCCTTCTGCCTGCCAGCCGCTGGCCAGTGTTATATTTGTAATCCTCTAGCTCTCTAAGGCAAATTTAAACCTTGTTGCTTCTGCATGTTCATCGAGGGCACAGTACACATCAGTCGGACACGTAAAGACTAAATTTACACAGTGCTCTACAGCCCAGGAAAGCTTGCGTATTAGCCCCAAGCGGGGCTTTTTGAGATTGCTGTCGAGACTCAGAGCCCTGATGTGCAGCTTGCTGTCTCTGTGACCTTGGGGAAGGTACTTCGACTTTCTGTGCCTTATTTCCTCGCCCATAAAGTGAGAATAATATGTACCCCTCAGCATCATAGTGCAGTTCAAGGAGCAAATCCACGCTCAGAGCAAGAACACAGTAGAACTCCTCGTCAGCACGTGATGTGAGTTACTATGATTGTCATCATGGTTGATTTTTTAAAACCCTGTTTATCTACAGTATCCCACTTGGCTTTGCAATGATAACACTTAAGGAACTTAAGTAATATCAGTCCCATTTTATAGGTAGACCCTCAGGCTTTGGTGTTGCTCAGAATCACAGTGAGCGTTCCTGGCAGAGCGAGGATTAGAACTGTGCTGTAGACAGAACGCCCTCAGGCTTGCGGTGGACTGGGGAGCGAGTAGGTTTTGTCTCAGGAGCCAGCTCTGGACAGTTGCAGGGGTTGCTCAGAGCGCTCAGGCCCCAGCTCATGAAGAAAAGATCGCTCGATTGATGAGCAGTGTCTGTCGTGGGCTTGCGAGCATCAGCGTTGCTTTCCTTTTTCTTTTTACTTCTGGCTGAAGTTTCTCGTTTACCCTAGTCTCTTTTTATGAACAAAATGTTTAGGTAAATTTGAACATACCTATAATGAAGTTACTTATAGAATAATTTTAGCCTTGTAAGTTTGCTAGGTAAGTTGTTACTATCCCCAGAATATTTTCTAGCTATGGCGATCAATAGAACCGCTCTCTTACAATGTGTTTCTCTGTAACGTCCGTCATTTTCTGTTCTCATATGGGCATGCAGATTGAGAGATCTAGTAGTCCCCATTTATTTCTAATTTGAAACATATTAATGGCACTTTGAAAAGTGACTAAGAAAACTCTGTTTTCATAGATGAACCAAACACTAGCCTCTTTGAAAATCAGAGAAACTGTTTTGGATGTATCGTGTAATCACTACTTTTAAAACACACAAAAGCTAGGTTTCTGTGGCCTTGACACCTGATCTGCCTGCTCTGACCTTGTTTTTAGCCACTGTTATCCCCTCCCCAGTATCCTTGGTCTTACTGTGGGGAAGCAGCAACTTAATATTTTAAATGTTGACATCACGTAAGTGTGGGAAAAGCCAACAGAGCTGACTTCTGGGTTCCAGTTTGTCTGCAGGCAAATGCCTCAGGGAAAGCTGGCCTCAGCCACCTACAGGTTCACCCACGTGCCCAGCTTGGGCTTGGCCCGAGAAGGTGTGGGTAGTCCTGTTTCCCCGTGTGAACTACCTTTGAGGGATATTTTAAAAGCTCATGAAGTGTGTGAACCTGGTACTCCACCCACTAGCCGTAAAGAAACGGGAGAGACGGGGAAGGGATCAGTGCTTCTCCTGGGCACAACTCTGGATTTCACTGGACTGTTGGAGTCACCTAGCTTCCAATTCTTGCTAAATTACCTTCAGGGATATAGAGTCAAAGTCTAGGTCATCTCTGGGCAATTCTGACAAGTTACTCCTTTTCCTTCTGCATTTGGTATGAGATGGCTAAGCAAGGAAGAAATCTCTCAGAAAGTGACATTTCTCATTCCACACTCACTACTGCAGAATTGCTCTGCTCTGATTTCTTGAGCTGTATTGATTTAAATTGGAGAGTTATTTTATTTATATTTGATGTGCCCAGTGGCAATGACCAGGGTTAATAAGCATGTGGAAGAGCTTTGTGAGAAGTATAGACTATTTGAGGAAAAAAAGAATTTTCATCCAAAAAACTTTCCAGAATGTACTTGCAAAGGCTCTGTGAAGGATGCTCTCTGAAAATTAAACAAATTTGTGGAAAGCAGTCTGCAATCTTTGCGACTAGATTATTGTTCACTTTCTAAAAATTATGCTTACCAGTCGCATTCAATGAAAATTACTTTTTAAGAACCTGTAATATGCAGTCAGTCTTTAAAAGTATTTACTGGAAATGGTTAGAGAAGAAAGCATTGTATTCCTTGAGAAGTTTGTATTAAGTGCCTTATAAGACGTTACTTCATCTATTTAGAGTTTTAAAATTTTTAAAAATACTGTTCAAGTTTCATTCAAAATGTAATCTTGTTTATTGTCTTTTTTTCAGGTGATATAACCAAACAGTCGGTATAAATTATGTGTTTGTTGTTAATGCAATTCTCAGCTCTGAGCTTCTCTACATAACCTCTTTTCCCCACGTGGAAAGACTTAATTTTTGGAGCAGAATTCTGGTAGTTTTGCCGGCCTGCTGAAGAACACGTTATCGATCAAGGCTTTTAGGCTTCTTTCTGTACTTAACAACATGTTTGCTCTTTCAGCCTTTTCCTGAGATTTCTCTTCAGCTTTAGTAAAGCCTTCTCTCTGGGAATTTTGGTAAATCAGAGACTTCATTATCCTCACAGAAGCCCCCCTGCCACGTTAAAGACGGGAGCCCCTTCGTCCGTCCCATTCCTTCGATGTGCATTTAATATTTTCGTCTTTTAGGCTGACCTCGACTCTTGGAATTCAGAAGCATTCTCAAGAAAACGTGGCGTTTACACAGTTTATCACCAGCCTGCTCAGAGAATTTCATTTAAGGAGTGAGGACCTTGAAAGTCTAACCGTCACATTTAGAACCAGCTGTCGGCCAGAATGGTGCGTTGACTGTGTTACTTTGGGTTGGTTTTTCCTCATTTGCTGCCTGTTTGGATTCTGTTTTCACACTGGAAATTTTGAAACCCAAGTAGACCCCTCCAGGTGTCGCCAGCTCGCTAAGTCCCCGAACGCGGTGTCCCTGCGTCCTCAGCGGCCCCAGCCGCTTCCTGCTCTCTTGTTACCCTGTGCCCCGCGCTTGTTGTTACTCCTCCTTTATAGGCGACCACAGGTGGTTCTGTTCCTTGCAATCCAGGAAACTCCCCGCTGTCAGCTTCATGCTCAGATCTAGGCCCTCCCGTCGTGCACGTCCCAGCTGCTGAGTCTCTTCCCAGGAAGTAGCAGTTTACTTGAACCAGACGCCCTCAGTGCCCACTGGGGATCGCCTCACCCTGCTCCCCTTGTCAGCCCACCAGCACCTGGGGCATCTCATGTGCGGACAAGCAGGTGGATGCACACGTCCAGCTCTGCTAACCCTGACCCCACTCCCAGATTCGTGGCCCTCGCCTACTATCCCAGGTTCTCGCCTCTTTAAGAGCGGCCCAGCAGTGTGTCTCCTCCCTCATCCTGCCTTAGTCACAACTCTCCGTCTCTGCCTGCCCTCGCTTTTCATTACACATACTTTCAAGTGCTCAGATAGGTATTGATTTAATGTTATGTTTGAAGAAATTCGTTCTAAACTACAAGTGAGACCATCTTTGGGAGCTTTTCTTTACCTTTCAATTATTTTTTAAATTACAAAAGCAACACACGCTTGTTATTAAAATTAAACAGTAAAGAACTGCATGTATAATTTTAAAAACCAAAATCCCCTCTCACTTCTGCTTCTAATCCTGTCTTCTTCCTAGAAGCACACTAATGATCTGTCATTTTGGATGTTCTTATTTGAATTTTTGTTTAAAAAAAGACTTATCAAGCAAACCTTTAAATCTGTGAGAAGGGTATTCGAGAAAGGTATTTTGACAGGCAAGGAGGAACAGCACCATCCCTCTACTGAACTTGAGAGAAAACAGAACATAAGGAATCAGCACTGTCTCTGCCTCCCGACTTAGACCTAGAGACCTCCTCAAACCTCCCTGCTCCCCTGAGGAGGGAACCTGTAACACGAAGGCTTTTTCTTAGGCAGTGAGCTCAGGTTGGCCGCTGTAAGCTTCAGTTCAGAGGTCCTCCTAAGAATATAGTGAGGTTGGAATTTTTTGTTTTATTGAGCTTTGAGTACAGAAGATTGAATTAATCATACTCTTCAGTTCATGACACCCTCTCTCCGTTGGTCGAAAGACTGCTTTTCCAGGTAGATTGAGAACAAGGAGCGCCTAGCCAGAGGCCCTTCCGGGGCTGCTTTAATGAGTAGGTACCAATTAAGAACCATTTTTAATTAGCATATTTAATGTTTGTATGTAAACAAGTGGTGTTAAAGAACTTTCAACAGTAGGTGTTTAAGTGGACTTGGCAGTTCTCCTGTGATCATTGTTTAGTTACTTTATTTGTATAAGTAAGCGAAGGGAGACCTGTGCCCAGATTTGTCAGTATTATAAGGGATTTTGAATGAATGAGGCCCGATTACGTAATTTTCCATAGAGAAATGGAGATGGTTGTGAGTAGGTAGATGGGTTTTTTTCCGTTTGTGTGAGCTTTGTAAACCTTGGTTCACAGGATTATTCGTGTGTAATGTCTCACAGCCTTTACAAGATCAGACCACTACTAGCTAGCGTGTGTCATTATGCTTTCAGTTGCAAATAACGAAAGAAATCCCGCTCAAGCTGGCTCTTTTTATGGTAGTATGCTAGTTATCTCTTGCTGCCTAACAAATTACTGTGAAATTTAGAGGCTTAAAACAGCAAACAGTTTTTAATCTCAGAGTTTCTGTGAGTCGGGGATCTGGACAGTTTAGTGTAGGGACTCTCCCTGAGCCACCTGCCAGGCTGTTACGGCATCTGGAGGCTCAGCTGGAGGAGGAGTCCCTTCCAGATTCACGCATGTGGTTGTTGGCAAGATTTAGTGCCTCACAGGCTGGTGAAGTCAGGGCCTCAGTTTCTGTCTATTGTCCAGAGCCCTCTCCCAGTTACTTGGCAAATGGTCGTCTCCATAGTGTGCCTCTCCGCTCGACACGTGGCTTCTCCCAGAGTGAGCAAGTGAGGGGGAAGCCTCGGTCTTCCGTGACTAATCTCAGGAGTGGCACCCGTCACCTCTGCCGTAGTCCATGCCCAGTCAGAAACTAATCGCTAGGTTCGCCCGCACGTGAGGTGAGAGGACATGTGAGGGATCTTTGAGGGCCAGCTGAGAAGCTCTACAGGGGGCAGAATCGTTCAGTAGTTCCTAGCTTGGGAGCACATCACACTGTCCTAGTGAGTCTGGAACTTTTCACACTGATTGAGGGCACCCCTGAACTAATCCGCGTGGCCATGAAAATGCTCTCAACTAACTCAGTCGTTCTAGCAAGGAATGGAGGAGAGAGAAGAGGGTATTTTTTTGTTTTTTTGACCTAGACCTATCACAGCCCACCCCCTGAGCTCAATCTGAAGCTGGGTTTATTCTACCCACATCATCACTGCTACATAACGGGGAAATGGAATGTATGTGGGAGGGTAACATAGTGTTCCCAAAAGCTGCTAAAATGTTTTAGATGTTTTATTCAGATTGTCCTTTTTGTTTCACAGGTATAATCCATGAAAGCCGCATAGATGACCCTATATTCACCATTTCTGGAATTCTAGCCACAGTAATTGTGTGGTGGTGACTGACAGTGGCTGTAACTGTACCGAGTGATTTCCCCAGACAGAGGAGAACTATTCCAACCAGGACAAGCAAGACCTTGCGTTCTAGCTATAAGACACAGAATTTTTATTTATTTGAAAATGAAAGTTGAAATCTTAAATTGAAAAGGAATATAATGATCTGTTATGTTTTCTAGATGAGTCCAGCCATCATATCAGTTGACCAGAAAACTGAGAAAATTTCCATGTTAGCCTCACAGTCTGACTCTAGATTCTAAAGAACAGTAAAGAATCAGGTCAATAAATACAATTTAAGATGAAGAGTTTTGGAAGCTGGCTATGCTATAAAATGGTCCTGAGCAATGTATACCTGAAACTTACATAATAGAAAAAAAATCATTAAGAAAATGAATTGACACAGACTAGGAGAAGATATTTTCAAATCATACTTGGTAAAGGACTTATATCTAGATTACATAAAGAATTCTTAGAACTCAAATGTAAGACAGCTCCATTTTTTAATGAGCAAAAATTTAAATACACATTTCAGCAAAGAAGATACTCAAGTGGCTTAGCATATGAAAAGGTGCATCACAAATCATTAGGGAAATGAAACCAAAATTAGATACCAGTTCCCATCCACTAGGGTGACTATAACAAAGACAAAGATAGTGCTGGTGAAGATGTGGAGAAACTGGAGCCCTAAATGGTGGGAATGTAAAATGATGCAGCCACTTTGGAAAGTGGTCTGGCAGTTTCTTAAAAAGTTAAATATAAGCTTACCATATGACCCAGCAATTCCATGCAGTATTCCATCCTAAGAGAAATGAAAACAGTTCACAAAGACTTGTAGACAAATGTTCATAGCATTAATCATACTAGTGAAAAAGTGGAAGCAATCTAAATGACCATCCACTGGTAAATGGGTATACAAAAAATCCATATAGAGGCCACCTCTCACTCCCTCATCTTCAGAGGCGGCCCACACCCTATGGAGTGTGTACCTACTTTTACTCTAATTTGAGCACCCAACCCCCACACTTCCTGGCCTTTCTCTTGCCTTTTCAAACAGCCTACACTCTATACAGTATGTATCTCTCTAACTAAATCTACCCTTACTCAAAAAAAAAAAATCCATCCAGCAGAATCCTGATGTATGCTACTCCATGGATGAACCTCAGAATCTTCATGCTAAGTTCTTAAAAGAAGTCTGACACAAATAAAACCATGTAAGTTATGGTTCCACTTATAATAAAATGTCAGAGAAGGAAAATATCTAAGACAGATACTAGATGGGAGGTTACATGGGCCTGGGGTAGGAGTGGGGATTGTCTGCAAATGGCCACAGGGATCTCTCTGGGGTGATGAAAACATTCTACAACAAACTGATTTTTGCACAACTTTTGTAAACTTTAAAAATAAAAATGATTGATTTGTGCACTTAAAACAGGTGAATGTTATGTGTATAAATTACACCTTGATAAAGCTGGTAGAACTCATAGATTATGTCCATACAACCCAAAGCAATATATAGATTCAGTGCCACTTCTATGAAAATTCCAGTGGCATTTTTCATAGAAATAGAACAAATATTCCTACAATTTGTATGGAAACACAAAAGAACCCAAATAGCCAAATCAATCTTGAAAAAGAAGAATAAAGACAAAGGCTTTATGCACCCTGATTTTTAACTACATTATAAAGCTATAGTATTCAAAACAGTATGGTACTGGCACAAAAACAGACAAATAGCACAATGAAACAATAGAAAGCTCAGCTATAATCCCACATACGTATATGGTCAATTAATTTACAACAAAGGAACCAAGAATATACACTGGGGAAAGGACTGTGTCTTGAGTAAATGGTGTTGGGAAAACTGGACAGCTACATGCAGAAGAATGAAGCTGCACCACTGTCTTACACCTTACACAAAAATTAACTCAGAATGGATAAAGGCTTGAACATTAAGACCTGAAACCATGCAACTCTTAGAAGAAAACATAGGCAGTAAGCTCCTTCACATCAGTCTTAGCAATGATTTTTTGGATTTGACAAATCAATAAACTAAAAAGGAACTATGTCAAACTAAAAAGCTGCTACACAGCAAAGGAAACCATCAACAAAGTGAAAAGGCAACCTGCTGAATGGGAGACAATATTTGCAAGGCATGTATCTGATAAGGGGTCAGTATCCAAAATACATAAAGAAGTCACAACTCAAAGGCAAAAAAAAAAAAGTCATATTTAAATGGGCAGAGGGTGAAGAGACTTTTACAAAGAAGACCTACAGATGACCAGTGGACATGAAAAGCTGCTCATCACTGCTAATCGGGAAAATAAAATTCAAAAACCACAATGAAATACCACCTCATACCTGTTAGAATGGCTGCTACCAGAAAGACAAGAAGTAACAAGTACTGGCAAGAATGTGGAGAAAAGGGAACCCTGGAGGGCTGCTGGTGGGAGTGTAAGTTGGTACAGCCACTATAAAAACAGTATGGAGGTTCCTCGAGAAATCAAAAATAGAACTACTGTATGATCCAACAAATCCACTTCTGGGTATTTATCCAAAAAACGAAAACACTAAAAGATATATTCATCTCTCTATTCATTGCAGCATTGTTTATAATCACTAAGATAGAGAAACAGCATAAGTGCTTAAAGATGAATGAATGGATAAAAAAGATGTGGTATATATACAATGAAATATTACCCAACCATAAAAAAGAAAATCTTGCCTCTTGCAACAATATGGATGGAACTTGTGAACATTATGCTAAGTGAAATAAGTCAGAGAAAGACAAATACCATGTAATCTCACTTATAAGTGGAATCTTTTTTTTTTTTAAAGCTCATGGATGGAACTTATTTAAAAATAAGCCCATAGTTATAGAAAACTGATTGGTGGTTGCCAGAGGCAGGATGTTGGGGGACGGGTGAAATGGGTGAAGGGGGTCAAAAGGTTCAAACTTCCAGTTATAAAATAAGTCATGGAGATGTAATGTACAGCATGGTGACTATAGATAATAATACTATATTGCATATTTGAAAGTTGCTAAGAGTAGATCCTTCAAAGTTCTCATTACAAAAAAAAAAGTATGTATGGTAATGGATGTTAACTGTATACACACAGAGGGTCATGTTACACACCCGAAACTAATATAATTTTAAATGTCAATTATACCTCATATACTACAGTTATATGCCAACAAATTGGACAAACTAGAAGAAATGGACAATCTTTTTTAACATAATAGCTTTCATTTTTTTCTTTTTCTGAGAGGTTTTTAAACCACTGTATCAAATAAAAAATTTATTAAAGCTACATTTTTAGATACCTTTAATTTTTTTAAATTGAAGTATAGTTGATTTACAATATTGTGTCAGTTTCTGGTATACAGCATAGTGATTAAGTTATGCATACGTATTCTTTTTCATATTCTTTTTCATTATAGATTATGACAAGATTTTAATATAGACAGTTCCCTGTGCTGTATATTAGGGTTGTAAGACACTGACAAAGGAAACACAGTACAAATGGATGGAAAGATGTCTCATGTGTGTGGATTGGAAGAAAATAGTTAAAATGCCCATACTACTGAAAGTAATCTGCAGATTTAATGCAGTCCCTATCAAGATACCCATGACATTTTCCACAGACTTAGAACAAGTAATCCTAAAATTTACATGGAACTGCAGAAGACCCCAAATAGCCCAAGTGCCTTGAGAAGGAAGAGCAAAGGGGGAAGGTGTCGCTCAGTGGCAGAGCATGTGCTTAGCACGCACGAGGTCCTGAGTGCAGTCCCTAGTACTGCTGTTAAAGTAAACAAACCAAATAACCCTAATTCCCCCTCAAAAAGATAAAAAATAAAAACAATAAAGCTAGAGGTATGCTCCCTGACTTCAGACTATACTACAAAGCTACAGTAATCAACACAGTATGGTACTGGCACAAAAACAAACAGATCAGTGGAACAGAATAGAAACCCCAAAAATAAACCCACACACTTATAGTCAAATAATCTACAGCAAAGGAGGCAAGAAAGTCTCTTCAATAAGTGGTGCTGAGAAAAACTGGGTAAGTACATATAAAAGAATGAAGTTAGAACATTTTCACACCATACAGAGATAAGCTCAATGTGGATTAAAGTCCTAAATGTAAGACCTGAAACCTTCCAGAAGAAATGGGCAGAACAATCTGACATAAATAGTAGCAATATTTTTTTAGATCCATCTCAAGGTAAAGGAAACAAAAGCAAAAATAAGCAAATGGGACCTAATTAAAATTAAAAGCTTCTCCAGAGCAAAGGAAACAATCAACAAAATGAAAAGACCACCTACTGACAAATATGTTAGTGGTGTGTCAAAGGGGTACAGGAGCCAACCTGGAGGCCCCAGCGGTCGATGCTGGGACAGTTTCAGCAACTAGAGAACAGTATGGTATTATGGTGGAAAGTATAAAATGTACATACTGATACAGAAGACTGAGAAATAAGTGAGGTGGACGAGGGAAGCCCACCTTACAGAACTCCAGGTGATACGGGCAGAGCCCTCCTGCACTGCCCAGAGGGGCCCGCGTGGAGTTGCTCTGATCCCATCGCGACTTAAAGGGGAGTTTCCGCGCTGCCCAGGCTTCTTGCTGTCCCGCAGACCAAAGAGGAGGACGTGCTCACATTCCTCGCAGCAGGAACCCACTTAGGTGGCACCAACCTTGACTTCCAAGAGGAACGTTTCATCCAGAAAAGGAAAACGATGGCGTCTATCTCACAAACCTGAAGAGGACCTGGGAGAAGCTCCTGCTGGCAGCTCGTGCCACTGCCGTCGTGGGAAACTGGCTGACGTCCCTGTCGTCCTCCAGGGACCCCGACCGGCAGACTGCTGGCCTGTGCTGCCGCCCCGGAGCCACTCCTGTTTGCCTGGTGCTTCACGCCTGGAACCTTCGCTAACCAGATCCAGGCAGCCTTCTGGGAGAATCTCTGGCGGTTACTAACCCCAGGGCCGGCCATGAGCCTCTCAGAAGCATCCGTTAACCTGCCTACCAGCACTCTGTGTAACACGGGGTCTCCTCTTCGCTACGTGGACACTGTCATCCCCGTAGTAACAAGACTGCTGACCCAGTGGGTCTGATGTGGTGGACGCTGGTCCGGGAGGGTCTGTGAGTCTTCCGTGAACACCCGTGGGAGGTCATGTCCGATCTCTTCTGTAGAGACCCTGAAGAGACCGAAAGGAAGGAAAGCTGTGCTGAAAAGGCTGTGACCAAAGGGGAGTTGCCAAGTGAATGAACTGCGCCAGCTCCCGAGTTCACCGCTACTCAACCTGCGTCACCGGCTGGTGAGGCATCCAGCTGCCCTCGGTGCCTGTTTGGCCGTTCCCTGCGCACCACCGGAGCGCCCAGCCCGCCACTGAGGCTGGCCTGCGCCTCCCGCTGCTCAGGCCACTGAGCGGGTGGGAGCAACCACTGGGTGGCGTTAAGCTGTTCTTCCATAGGCTCTTGAACGGAAGACAGACAAGAGGCTGTCAGAAAGTAAGTACCAGTTTTGAAATAAGCAAGTGAGTAAGACTAGATGTAGATACTATCCCTCCCAGGAGACAGGAGTTCTTCCGCCCTTTGAGAGTGGATTAAACCTAGTGACCTGCTCCCGAAGAACAGAGCAGGGAAAGAAAACACCTTCCTCGAGTGATGACGTTCACGTCCCCAGTGACGCCACGTACACGTCACGTGCCCTGACGCGTCTGGTGAGACGGGCACTCCACCCCTGCGCTGTGCTGCCCCCGAGCCCGCGACCGCGGTCGAACCACGAGAAAACACAGATCCGCTGGAGGGACATTTCTGCAAGAAACTTGGCTGGTAACCCTCAAGACCGTCAAGTCATGAAAAAACAAGGGAAAACTGAAAATGCGACACAGACCAGGGGAGACGTGTAAACTAAATGCAGTGTGATTTCTTGGTCTGGATCGGAACAGAAAAGAGGACATTGATGGAAAAGCTAGTGAAGTCCAAGTACAGTCTGAAGTTTAGTTAGTAGTAATAAACCAGTGCAGCTGCTTGGTTTTAACAAATGCACCGTGGAAATGCAGAATGTAAACGACGGGGCATCGGGGTAGCGGTGCGCTGGAACTCTACTGTCTTCCCCACTTTCTCTAAATCTAAAATTATTTCAAAATAAAAAGCTTGTTTTTTTAAAGTACCAACTGGACATGAGAAGGGATGCAAAGACAAGAGAGTCGTTGCACTCAGAATGTTCGGCCTGCCTGGGAGAGAGGCACGCTGCGGTAAACGCCCTAAAGAGGGGCCTCCGCCTGGCTTGCCTGGGACAGTCCCTCGTTTATAACTGTCCGATCAGCGTTATTATTAATTACAAGTTCCCCCTTTTACTTCCAAAAGTATTCTGACTTGGACATTAAACTATACGGTCTTACTACCTAAAAGGCCCAGGGCATGCTG